GCCCTTGGCCCAGGTGTGTCTGCAGCAGCTGTTGATGACCAGCTGGAGCAGTGGCAGAGCCCTGCCATCCCCACAGGAGCATCCCTGTCCTGCTCCAGCTGACCTCGGGTGTCCAGTGAGTTCATGGTTCCTCCTGTGGGTATCTACAGCCAAGCTCTTTGCAGGGCCTGCTCTAGTGGAAGGTGTCCCTGCCCATGGCAGGGGGTTGGAAGTGGATGAGCTTTAAGGTCCCTTCCAACCCAAATCATTCTATGTGGCTCTTCTACTTTCAACAAAGGCCTCTCTGGTGGAGTCTTGCTGTTTGGCAAGAGGTGAAGGTCTTGGGCCCTGCATCCCTTCACTACTAGTTGGGGGAAGATCAGGGAATCCAGCTCATGTGCTTTGTAGACCCCCTTGGGCATTTGGGTAAATCTACTCTTTGTTTCCAGGCTATGGCTTTTAAATCCCATCCTTCCCACCCCTCTTCCATTTGGAGTAGCCCATGGCCTGCCTGCCTGCCTTTAGACTCATGCTAAGCCTGCAGCTGCATTGTACATGGCAGGAGGATGGGACTTGGCCGCACAGGGTTAGGTGGGAAATGCACAAACTAACAGTTGTCCCAAGGGTTTAATCCCCACTTTCAATTGACATTCAACAGGAGGTGCATGGAACGGCATAAACTGCTCTGGCAGGGATGAAGTGGAGCTGAGGAGCACAAGGACGAGTGCATGGAGCTGGGGGGGGGGTGGGGGGGGGGGCATTATTCAGCATTCTCACTTTGCGTATTGATTGTTTCCGAGGAGAAACCCAGTTCTGTTTTGTGAGCTCGAGCAGACACCAGGCCTGTGAGAGTGTCTGGATCAAGCTGAGCCTTTCATGCCTGCTGTGCCTGAAGTTCTGTCCCCGGGAAATGCTGTTCAGCCTGGGAAGGAGCTCAGGAGCTCGCTGTGGCTGTCACCCCTGCTTGTGAGCGATGCCTGAGGAGGTGGTGGGATGTCAGTGTGAGACCAGAAGGCAGAATGAGAGACTGTGAGGAATGGAACACGGCTGGAGCTGTGTGACAGGCAGAAGGTGTCCAATGTGACACACACACACTCACTACTGTGAGCAGTTGATACCACCTCGAATGAGCTGGGGAGCACCAACGGCTGCCAGATCACTTGCAGCACTGGGCGGGTGCAGTTCTGGTGTTCTCGGCATAAGAGGGACATGGAGGGGTTGGAGCAAGTCCAGAGCAGGCCACCAGGATGAGCAGGGGCTGGAGCAGCTCCTCTACGGAGACAGGCTGAGAACATTGGGGCTGTTCAGCCTGGAGGAGAGAAGCTGAGTGGAGACTGCAGTGTCGGGAGGGGGCTACAAGGATGCTGGAGAGGGACCTTCATCAGGGACTGTAGTGATAGGACAAGGGGTGATGGGTTCAAACTGAAACAGGGGAAGTTCAGGTTACGTCTAAGGCAGAAGCTCTTCCCTGTGAGGGTGCTGAGGCGCTGGCACAGGGTGCCCAGAGAAGCTGTGGCTGCCCCATCCCTGGCAGTGTTCAAGGCCACATTGGACACAGGGGCTTGGAGCAACCTGCTCTAGTGGAAGGTGTCCCTGCCCGTGGCAGGGGTTGGAGCTGGAGGAGCTTTAAGGTCCCTTCCAACCTAAACCACTCTGTAGTTCTATATGGTAGGTGTTTGGATGCTCCTTAGAAAGGAAGGAGAGACCAAAGCCATTGTGGAGGACACTGGCTTTGAAGCTGGTCTGTACTGGGGACCTGTGGGAGCTCTGAAGGGTAGGTGCTCCTGAGCAGGCTGCTGCTGGCCATGACATTAGTGCTTTGCTCTCACCTCTTTCTTGTCTTCAGAATGGTTTGAAGCTGCCTTGGTGACATCTCTCCTTTCTTTGAGTCCCAGCAGCCTGCAGAGGGGAAAGCTCTGGCATCTTCTGCAGGTCCCTTGCAGGGATGTGTGGCTTTGCTCTGGCCATGCTGGCACATCAGCCCAGCAAACCACAACCTGGAAACCAAGTGTAAGAGGAAAGGGCAAATCTTCAAAGCAGCAGGTTTCGTGTAGCTCCCTGGGATGTGTCTCTGCCACAGGAGCCAGAGTGTCTACCGCAACCAGACATCGTGGAGCATGGCCAGGACATGGCAGGTTCCTGCAGTGTGCTCATGTGAACAGGGTGTCCTCTGAATGTGTTGTGTAGTAGCAGCAGGAGGTCGATGGGGGCCAGCCCCAAGCAATGACATTGATCTGTTGTTGGGCAGAGGGAGCCTGGGGTGTGCACCAGTGAGCGGGAGACAAATGCAACGTGCACGGGGAAGTCTGAGGCACAATCACTTGGGGCCAGAATGGGGCTGCCTGGTGACAGATCGGGTCTCTTGTCACTTGAAGGGGAAGTCTTGGCCTTGAGGGCAATTCCCTCCTGCACCAAACTCCAATTAGCAGAGCCACTCATCCTCCTGCCAGGCTCCCAGTGCTGGAAGCACAAATCACAGTCCCCATGATTATAGACACAGTCGATTGCAAATTGTGGGCAATTTGCAGCAGGGAATGTGCCTGGCTCTGGGATGTGTGTATGTATTTACAGTGCTGGATACAGCAATACAGTCATTATGTGGTATTAATAACATGGCCTGCTTTATAAATAACAGGGAATCTCTCTCTGGCTCTGCTGCTCTGCAGTGTGGCTCGAGGCATGGAGCTCTTGGCCTGCTGACAGCAGGAGTGTCAGGGGGGTAGCCTCAGTTTTCTGGCAAACAGAGCCAAGTACCATGTGCAGGGTGGGTAAATGGCGTCAGGGGTTGATGTGGACTGAGCTGGGCTGGTTGTGGAAGTGTCCAACCTCCCAGCTCCTCATCTGAATCCTTCCTTGGATTGTCTTCTCACCTACAAGTGATGCTGCTCTATTAGGCTGGTCCCTGGGAAAAGCCATCCAAGGCACCTCCTCCTGCCAAACCCCTCCCCTGCATCCCATCCCTCTCCAGAAGGTGCTGGGACCTGGGGGAAGATGTGGCAGACCTCCAGGGACAGCACCACATGCATCGCTCTCAGCTCCATAAATCCCAAGAAAAACATGCCCGGTCTTTTTATGACCCTGGTGTTTCCTCTCTCTGGGCAGCATCTCCTGCTGGAGCAGTTTCACTTTATTTGGGTACGTAAATACTTATGGGACATGGAAATAAGCTCTGTCACCTGGTAACTCTGACACTTGCCTTTGCTCCTGTTTACACAGCAGGGACTGATTTAGCTGTGGGAAGGGGAATAGCTCCAGCAGGACAGTGGATCCGGTGGCTGGTGCCTCACCCTCCAGCCTGGGGGAAATGGGCATCATCAGTTTGGCAACAGCTTCACAGAGGTTCCATTCACACCTTACTGAAGCAGGTGAAAATCAGGGCAGAACTTCTCCCTCTGTAGCATCAAGCATGAAGCCTTCATCGCAGGAAGTTGGATTTGGTGAATAGCTCTTCTGCTGACGTTCCAAGAGGTGGGGGGTAAGGGTTTGAGATCTGTGCCCTGAGTTTGCTGCACAAACCGTAGGTGAGATGTAGAGCTAAGAAATGTCAGCACTGGAACTGCTGCTCCTCTGTCATGGCATGTTCCTGTGAGCAAGCTGTTTACAATGCTCCCGTGAGACCCCGTTTGCAGCACTGGGTGCAGGGCTGGTGTCCTCAGTGCAAGAAGGACATGGAGGTGTTGTTGGAACAAGCCCAGAGGAGGCCACCAGGATGAGCAGGGGCTGGAGCAGCTCCTCTGTGGAGACAGGCTGGGAACATTGGGGCTGTTCAGCCTGGAGAAGAGAAGCTGCTGGAGACCTCAGAGCAGCTTCAGTGTGTGAAGGGGGCTACAAGGATGCTGGAGGTGGGACCTTCATCAGGGAATGGAGTGATAGGACAAGGGGTGATGGGTTCAAACTGAAACAGGGGAAGTTCAGGTTAGGTCTAAGGCAGAAGCTCTTCCCTGGGAGGGTGCTGAGGCGCTGGCACAGGGTGCCCAGCACAGGTTGCCCAGAGAAGCTGTAGCTGCCCCATCCCTGGCAGTGTTCAAGGCCAGGTTGGACAGAGCACTGGGAGATGACGTGGTCTAGTGTGAGGCGTCCCTGTCCATGGCAGGGGGTTGGAAAAGGATGGCCTTAAGGTCCTTTCC